ATATATATTTGTGTGTGTAATTGTATATATATATTTCCATCTGGGTGAAGACTTTGATAATCATGTGTATTAAATTATATCATAATTAATTTGGATGGTTTTTCATGTTGGATATATTCGATTGATAAATGTTTACTAAGCAGCTACTATGTTCCAAGCATTCTGCGAAGTGCTAGGTATACAAAAAGAAGCAAAAAAAATCCCTGTCTTCAAAAAGCTTACAATGTAATGGGCGAGACAACATGCAAACAAAAATATACATAGCAGGCCAAATACAGGATAAAAAGAAATAATTAACAGAAGGAAGGAGCTAGAATTAACAGGGGTTTGGAAAGACTTTCTGGAAAAGGTGGAAATTTAGTTAAGGTTTAAAAGGCAACCCAAGAAGATCAATAGTTAGAGAGGAGGAGGAAGAACATTCTATTCATGGGTGACAGCCAGAGAAAATGCCCAGAGCCAAGAGAAGGGATGTCTTGTATGTGGAACAGCCAGGAGGCCAATGTTACTGGGTAGAAGAGTATGTAATGGGGAGTGAGGAATAAGAAAACTGGAAAGGCGGGAAAAGGGGTATTCCTCATGTGGAACACTGAACAAGAGTTTCATAGTATGGACAGGAATGTGCAATCTGTATCTTTGATGACACACCCTACACTGAGGAGAATCACAGGACAAGATTAGGCCCCAGGCTTCTGATTCTGCACAAACCTTCACCAGCTCTTAGAAATCTTCAAATCTGTTCCCCTTCAAGCTTCTTTTGCAACCCTGACTCACAGAGCTTCCCTGCTCCAGTCTTAGAGTACATGAAAATTACTCTCCCTTCTGCCCATTAGGCTCCTTTGGAGATTGTAATGAATCAGTATTTCTTGTTGATGAGGATTTGCACCTGAGACAAAAGTTTACTCCTACTATAGACACATCCCATATTCCCACTGAAGATAGTGTTATTTTCCTGCCAGTGACATGATAATCATATTGGGGATGGGGAGATTAGAGGGAGAGAGGAGCTGAGGTTTGGCTGTCATATAACTTGAGCCCTGGTCATCCCCAGCACACATACACATGCTGCATGAACTAACACTATTCTCAGCACTGGAATCACTAATCGGACTGGTGAGTGAATACATGACTTAACCTCTAAGAAAAAAAAAGAAAGAGATTAATAAAAAGAATGAGAGAAAGAAAGAAGAAGAGAGAGAGAATTATAGCTGGGTTTCTTGCTGATGGAGATGAGGCAGACAAGGCAGCAACTGGAAGATGCTAAATGGCAGAGTGTTTGGGAGAGAAATTTGGAAGCTTCAGAATCACTCTTCTAGGTGTGTGATTGATAGCAGTGCGTGTGGAAATTTAAGATGATATTCATTTCAAAGAAATTATTTTTCTTTGATTTGGATCCATGTTCTGCCCTGCCAGAATCTTTTTTCTAAAATCTAAACTTGGTCATCCAACATTTTAAGTATTACTTCTAGCTTAATGATGACGTAAATTCATTGAATAAGCTATCTGCTTATTTATACCATAATTATAAACGCTCAACAGTGCAGGTACAAGAAGACTTTTATCTAGGAAAATGAGATATTTTACTTTCAATTAACTTTAAAGTATTAATTATTACTATGGGTTTTTTTTAGCTTTTTTCATTTCTTTCAGATATTTATCTTTAGCTTAAAACTCTCACTCATGTGTCCTCAAAGATAGAAGGATAGATTTTTTTTCAAAAGTGAGGTATATTAATTTTTTTAAAGAGAGAGAATGAGAAAATGAGAGTCTATTTTCACATAATCTCTTCTTATAGAGTTCTAATTTTTTAAATCTTTTTCATTTTCATTTTCATTTATTAATGCCAAACTGATTTACTCAGACTGACAAGCTGATGGTTGTTATAAAGAAAAGAATATATGCTATGGGAAAAGATCCCCCGGGGTTACAGTCATGCAGTTTATCTTTGAACAAATCCTTCTAGCCCTAACTTCTTCTCTAGATCTCTGTGGTCCAGAGATCTCAAGGCTCAGGTGGACAGAGGATGTGGTACCTGAGAAGTTGCTCATGACTCCCCATGAATTGCTCCTAACTATATATTCTCCACCTACTGGTGCCTTTCCTTCTAAAGCCACTCTCAAAATTATCTGTATTTATCTGAGATAAAAATGATATTTATATGTAGTTTCCTCAATTAAAAAGTGCTTTTTCCCCCTACTTTTTCTTTGCATCCTCATCATCTTGTCCAGTGCCTGTCACATAAATCTTAATAAATTCTTATACATTCACTGCCATACCACTGACACTCACTTTTGCCAGTATTCTGAAATGGCTTCCCCTCTTTCACTCCTATGGGGATGGATACTCATTATCTTATTTCATTTCATTAGGTTCTGTCACTTTCCCTACCTCTCTCAAAGCATTCTTTCCTGACTAATTCAGCTTTCATCATTCATGCTTCTTTCTGAGGTCCTACATCACTAATGAACTGTTCCCTTCTGCCTCACTTTCCTCTAATTACACAGACCTTTGCAAAATGACCAGAAAAGGCAATGATGTTTAAATCTTTAAGATTTTCATTATGGCTTATTTCAACTCTCATCTGAAAAGGACCAAAACTTAATTTGCAATATTCAAGGGCTGAGGCATGGGAGAACTGTGCAAAGGAAGGTGGATGTAACACAAAATACACTTGTCAAAATCATTTGTCAAGGAGAGCTACCAGAACTCTTGCCAGATGGGGATAACCACATTCCAGTCACTGGAGTTATGGGAATTATAGTAATCAGAATCTTTATTCATAGTAATATGCATATGATAAAAGAGCTTACCCTGCAGATGTCTTCTATTGAATACAGAGCTTAGAAAACTCATCAGTGATCAAGAAATTATAGATTTAGATGAGGACTATGAAACAAACACTTAATCCAACCACCACATCTTGTAGATGGGAATATGAAGTCCTACACAATTGAAATAGCATTTTCAAAGTCAAAAAAGAAGTGACACATTGAAAACTTAGACATAGGTTTTCTGTTTTCAAAATCATCTATTTTTTTCCTTGAAGAGGAGGGTAATTTTGGGAGGTCTTCTGGGGGAGACAGGCTAATTTGGGGAAAATTCATGAGCAAAATGGGCTAAAAATATCACAGATACTTGTTCCCAAAGCCCTTCAACATTGTTTCAATAGAGAGTCTGTCTCAGACATTATTTACACTTAAATTTCATATTCTTTCATATAAACTAGTCATGGTTCCAAAAGAATATTTAAGAGATAAATTTATTTGAGGCAGAGACTTTTGTCTAATAAGCCTTCTTATTTCATTTGTCCCTAGTACCTGGGGGAGTATCTGGATTGAATCATTCTGGATTTTTAAATCATAGTGCAAAGAGTTGTGAAGTTGGAGAGAGAAAAGTCTAGTTTGAGTAAAGATTCTATTACCTGCTAGTTATTGGTTTTTCTACAAATGGTTTGATATATCTAAGAATGAGGATTCTCAATGCTTCTATACCAGTAAGTAGCTGAAACAAAAAATAGAGGATATTGATATTTGCTCTATTAATTTTTGAGATGTGTTGGAAACAATCTACAATAAAATTTCCATTTATTATTTATTTACTTGTTTGTTGATCTTTTGATATTACATGCATTTAAGCTTGGTACCTCCTACTTTCCCTCCTTCCAAAGGAACAATAAAAATGCAAATAAAAACTATATAAAAATTCACAAGGTGAATTCATAGTCCAGAAAAACAAACACTCAACCTTGCTCTATCTACAAAAGGATGTCTCATTCTCTTTTCAGAGTCACTCACATTTCTAGCAGGGGGTAGGAACTGATTTTCATCTTTGGCTTTAACTTGCCTTTCTCTATTAGTCATTAGGAGCCTTCTTTTATATGTTCATTAACATCTTGTATTTCTTCCTTTTAAGACTGCCAGTTTCTAGCTTTAAATACTTATATTATAAAGAATGACTCAAACTTATAAATTTGAATCTGATATATGTATCAGAAAGACTTGCTGAAAAATTACTAGTTTTGTTTCAATTCTAAGTTTGCTTGTGCAAAAAAAAATGAAATAACTAAAATTTTACAATTTATCTTTTGTTTTTACTTATTTGGTCATGAAGTTTTCATTTATCAATAGACATGAAAAGCTTCATGTCACAGTACATAGAACTCTGAAGTTAGAAGTAGGAAGACCATAGTTCCAATCTAATCTCAGGCATGCTTGCTAGATATGTGGTACTAAGCAAGGTCATTTAACCTCTTTCTTCCTCAGTTTCTTCATCTGTAAAGGGGAGAAGATGAACAGCTATGGGACACAGTGGTTAGAGCACCAGGCTTAGAATAAGGAAGAGTCAGGAAAATCCAAGTTAAAAGGATACTGATACTTACCAGCTCTGTGACAAGTCACAGAGGGCAAGTCACTTAACCCTGTTTGCCTTAGTTTCCTCATTAATAAAATGAGTTGGAGAAGGAAGTGATAAACTACTCCAGTATCTTTGCCAAGAGAACCCCAATTCCAGTTACAAAAAGGCAGACAGGATTGAAATGACTGAACAACAGAAAAGGGAAATTACTAGTACCTACAAGGAGTTTCATGAGGATAAAACAAATATTTGTAAATTGTTTTGTAAAACTTTAAAGTGCTATGCAAATGCTAGAAAAAATAAAAAAGGCAGTTTCTTCTTTGCACCTCTAATTTCTTTAAAATTTCTCCTCTTATGTCTATATCATGTAATTCATTGGAATTGATTTTGCTATATGATGTGAAATATTTGTCTCTACCTAATTTCCTCCAGACACCTAAGAAAACACTTTGAACTGAATATCCCAAGTCACTGAACATGAAAGGTTTATCGTTCCTCCTACTGACAAAAGGATGTGAAATCCTCTTGGAAATCTCTGTATTTTAAATATTCTTAATGTCAATGTGTTTTTTTTTCCTTCCTCAGGTTGCTGTGGCAGCAATTTTTTTTTTGTTCAAGACAAAAAACAACAACAACAACAACAACAACTGATGATTTCCCACAAAGATGTCCTGGGCATGATTTATCTGATCCAGTTTATGAGTGGAATCCTAGGGAACGGTCTCCTCTTTTGTTTTTATTGTATTAATTTCAGTTCTGGCTATAGGCAAAGATCCATTGACCCATTTGTCATCCATTTGGGCTTTGTCAACACCATGATGCTTCTCTTCAGAGGAATACCCAAGATCATAGAGATTTGGGGGTGGGAAAACTTCCTGAATGATATTGGGTGTAAGTTAATTACCTATCTGCAAAGAGTGTCCCGAGGCCTTTCACTCTGCAGTGTCAGTCTGGTGAGTGTCTTTCAAGTGATTACTATCAGTGCCAATAGCCCTATGTGGGCATTGCTCAAAGCCAGATCTCACAAATGTATCTTACCCTGTTGTGTGTTCTGTTGGATTCTCAATCTGTTAATGGATGTTTTTGTGCCCTTGTACATAACTGGTCCAAGTAATAGCACAAATAAAGGAAGAAGGAATTTGGGATACTGCTTTACAGATATGCATGCCATGCATGCTTTAAAAGTTCATATCTGGAAGTCTCTCTATTATAGTGCATTTGTGGGCATCACGGCCTGCAGCAGTGTCTACATGGTAGCTTTCCTATATAGGCACCGACAGCAAGTTGAGCACATTCACAGCACTAGCCTCACACCCAGAGTCTCCCCTGAGATTAGAGCCACCAAAGTCATCCTGCTGCTGGTGGGCACCTTTGTTGGCTTTAACACAATCAGCAGTCCTTTTATTCTTTATGTGAAATATTCTAATGGAACCAGTTCTTGGGCTGATCATGTCACTCCTTTTCTCTCCATGTCTTTTCAGTCAATCAGCCCATTTGTGCTGATCACTAGTGACACCCAAATTCATAAGTCCTGCTTTGTTCTCTCAAGGATCATCAACTCCTAAAATGTTTTATTCTTACCATAATCTCAGGTCAAATCCTTCCATTTCAAATTATATTAAGTTGGAGTCAAGATATTGGAGTAAAAGTGGTGACTTGCTTGAGCTATCCCCCAAACCTCTCCAAATACCTGTAAAAATGGCTCTAAACTAATTCTAGAGTAGCAGAACCCACAAAAAGACAGAGTGAAACAAATTTCCAGTCCAAGACAATCTGGATGGTTATTTGGAAAGGTCTCTTGTGCCAGGCTGGGAGAGGAACGCAGTTCAGCGTGGACATGCAGGCAAAACCGACCTCAGCTATCCTGGAGCAGATTTCAGAAGATTGAATCATGGGCAGCTGTGCTGGTTTCCAGACTTCTCAACCCACAAATGCCAAAGACAACTTAGAAGGTCAGTAGGAAAAGTCTGTGACCACAGTGAGAGAGAATATCTGCCCCAGCCCCAGTCCCAGCATAGCCCTGGGGCGGCAGCTGCTGCTTCTGGAGCTCAGCCCATAGGCAGAGAGGGAATTGAGTGGCAGATCAGAGGGGATTACAGAGATCTCTTTGCTAGTGCTGAGACAGGATTCTCTAGCTTTGCCTCTGCTTGGATCTGGGTCACAGTTCTGGGTGGTGGTCCTGGAGTGAGGAGAAAGGCAACAAAGTCAAATCTCCTACATCCAAAGCCTCCAAGAAAAATATGAGTTACAAATATCATCTTTCCATGCAGGAATGTAAACAGTTCAACCTTAATAAGTCTCTTATGATTTTCTCTTTCCTGTTTACCTCTTCATGTTCCACTTGAGTCTTGTATTTGAAAATCAAATTTTCCTTTCAGCTCTGGTCTTTTCATCAAGAATGCTTGAAAGTCCTCTATTTCACTGAATGACCATTTTTCCCCCTGTAGGATTATACTCAGTTTTGCTGGGTAGGTGATTCTTGGTTGTAATCCTATCTCCTTTGCCCTCTGGAATATTATATTCCATGTGCTATGGTCCCTTAATGTAGAAGCTGCTAAATCTTGTATTATCCTGATTGTATTTCCACAGTACTTGAATTGTTTCTTTCTGGCTGCTTGTAATATTTTCTCCTTGACCTGGGAACTCTGGAATTTGGCTATAATATTCCTAGGAATTTTCCTTTGGGGTTCTCTTTTAGAAGGAGATCGGTGGATTATTTCAATTTCTATTTTGCCCTCTGGTTCTAAAATATCAGGGCAGTTTTCTTTGATCATTTCTTGAAAGATGATATCTAGGCTCTTTTTTTGATCATGGCTTTCAGATAGTCCAATAATTTTTAAATTCTCTCTCCTGGATCTATTTTCCAGGCCAGTTGTTTTTCCAGTGAGATATTTCAAATTGTTTTCTAATTTGACATTGTTTTGGATTTGTTTTACAGTGTCTTGATTTCTCATAAAGTCACTAGCTTCCAATTGCTCTGTTCTAATTTTTAAGGAAGTATTTTCTTCAGTAATCTTTTGGACTTCCTTTTCCATTTGGTCAATTTTGCTTTTGAGGGCATTCTTCTCCTCATTGGCTTTTTGGACCTCTTTTGCCATTTGGGTTAAGCTATTTTTTAAGGTGTTATTTTCTTCAGCATTTTTTTGGGTCTCCTTTAGCAAGCTGTTGACTTGTTTTTCATGATTTTCTTGCATCACTCTCAGTTTTTCCTCTACTTCTCTTACTTGCTTCTCAAAATCCCTTTGGAGCTCTTCCAAGACCTGGGACTGATTCATATTCTTCTTGTAGGCTTTGGATGTAGGAGCTTTGGCTTCATTGTCTTCTTCTGGTTGTATGTTTTGATCTTCTGTGTCACCAAAGTAAGATAATATAGTCTGATTCTTTTTCCTCTGCTTGCTCATGATCCCAGCCAATTATTTGAGTTTTAAACTCTTTGTTAAGGTAAAAGTCTGCTTCCAATATGGAGAATGTACTGCCCAAATCTTCAGGGGTTTGTACAGCTGTTTTCAGAGATACTTCTAGGGACCTGAAACTTGGTGGTATGATAAGGGGCGAAGTGTTTTCTCTCCACAGCCACGACAAGCTCCACCACACCAGCACTCCTTCTTGCCCCAGGACTGCCTCTCAGAATTGTGACGCAGATCCAGGCACCAGTAAAGCAAGAGATTCCTGCCTCAGCACTGGCAAAGAGATCCCTGTGATCCCCCTCTGATCAGCAACTCGATTCCCACTCAGTCTGTGGGCTGGAAACTCAGGAAACAGTTGCTGGCCAGGGGCCATGCTCAGGACTTGTGACTCAGACCTAGGTCCTTCTCTCACTGCAGTCACAGACTTTTCCCATTGGCCTTCCAAGTTGTCTTTGGCATTCATGGGTTGAGAAGTCTGGAAACTGCCACAGCTGCCTGCGATTCAGTCCTCTGAGGCCTGCTCCACGGTTGCTGCGGCCTGCGCGCCCACGCGGAACTGGGCTCCTCTCTCTGCCCAGCGCGATATACCTTTCTGATCAACCATCCAGGCTGTCTTGGGCTGGAAATTTGTTTCACTCTGTCTTTTTGTGGGTTCTGCTGCTTTAGAATTTGTTTATAGCCATTTTTATAGGTATTTGGAGGAGTTTGGGGGATAACTCTCAAGCAATCACTGCTTTCCCTCTGCCATCTTTGTCAGTATTAGGGTAGTTAGAGGGGAAAAAATTATATGTATGTATATATAGATATAGATAGATAGATAGAGGGCACAGGGTGAGTTGACAATGAAGGGGTAATATCTGGAGAATAAAATTAAGGAGTGAGAGAGGATTATACTAGGAGAAGGAGAAAGGGAGAGGTAGAACAGGATAAACTATCAAAAAAAAAACAGAAAAGAAAAGACTCTTACACAGTGGAGGGGAAATGGGGGAAGGTGAGAGGGAATGAGTGAATCTTATTCTCATAGGATTTGACTTAAGGAGGGAATAACATACACATTCAATTGGGTATGGAAATCTGTCTTGCCCTATGGGAAAAATATGAATTCCAGGAAAAATATGAATTCCAAGAAAAATATGAATTGATCTCAGGCCATGGAAGATTTTGAGAAGCAAGTAAGAGAAGCAGAGGAAAAATTGGGAAGAGAAATGAGAGTGATATAAGAAAATCATGAAAATCTAGTCAACAGCTTGCTAAAGTAGACCCAAATAAATACTGAAGAAAATAATACCTTAAAAAATAGCCTAATCCAAATGGTAAAAGAGGCTCCAAAAGCCAATGATGAGAAGAATGCCTTCAAAAGCACAATTGATTAAATGGAAGTAAGTCTAAAATCTCACTGAAGAATATACTTTCTTAAAAATTAGAATGGAGCAAATAGAATCTAGTGAATTTATGAGAAATGAAGACACTGTAAAACAAAACCAAAAGAATGAAAAAATAAAAAACAGTGTGAAATATCTCATTGGAAAAACAATTGATCAGGAAAATAGATCAAGGAGATATAATTTAAAAATTATTGGACTATCTGAAAGCCATGGTCAAAAAAAGAGACTAGATATTATCTTTCAAGAAATTATAAAGGAGGGGCAGCTAGGTGGCGCAATGAATAGAGCATCGGCCCTGGATTTAGGAGGACCTGAGTTCAAATCTGGCCTCAGACACATAACACTTACTAGCTGTGTGACCCTGGACAAGTCACTTAACCCCATTGCCTAGCCAAAAACAAAAACAAAAACAAAAACAAAACAAGAAATTATCAAGGAAAACTGCCCTGATATTCTAGAACCAGAGGCAAAATAGAAATTGAAAGAATCCACCAATCACCTCTGAAAGAGAACCCTGAAGGAAAACTCCTAGGAATTTTGTAGCCAAATTCCAGAGTTTCCTATATCAAGGAGAAAATATTGCAAGCATCCAGAAAGAAACACAATCTATAGCTGAAACACAATCAGGATAACACAAGATTTAGCATCTTCTGCCTTAAGGGACTGCAGGACAGGGAATATGATATTCTGGAGGTCAAAGAGATAGGATTACAACCAAAAATCACCTACCTAGCAAAATTGAATATAATTCTTCAGGGGAAAATGGATATTTAGTGAAATAGAGGACTTTCAAGAATTATTGATGAAAAGATCAGAGCTGAATAGAAAATTTGACTTTCAAATACAAGACTCGAGAGAAGCATGAAGAGATAAATAGGAAAGAGAAATCATAAGGGAGATATTAAAGTTGAACTGTTTACATTCCTTCATGGGAAGGTGATATTTGTAAGTTTTGAGACCTTCATCAGTATTAGGGTAGTTGGAGGTAAAAAGTTATATCTATGTATATATCTAGATAGATAGATAGATAGAGAGCACAGGATGCATTGAAGATGAAGGGGTGATATCTGGAGAATAAAATTAAGAGGTGAGAGATGATTATACTGGGAGACAGAGAAATGGAGAGTTAGAAAGGGTAAATTATCTCACATAAAACAGACAAGATAAGGCTTTTACACTTGAGGGGAAACTGGGGAAGGTGAGAAGGAATGACTGAATCTTATTCTCATTGGATTTGGCTTAAGAAAGGAATAACATACACATTCAATTGGATATGGAAAGTTATATTACAGAAAATAGGGAGGAAGGGGATAAGAGAGCAGGGTGATGACAGAGGAGAAGGCAGATTGGGGGAGGGGGTAATGAGAAGCAAACACTTCTAAGGAGGGACAGGGTCAAAAGAGAGAATAGAATAAATAGGGGGTGGGATAGGATGAAGGGAAATATATGTAGTTTTTCATAACATGACTACTATGGAAGTGTTTTGCATGACTACACATGTATAACCTGTATTGAGTTGCTTGCCTTCTCAATAAGGGTGAATGGGGAGAGAATAAGGGAGAAAATTTGGAACCCAAAGTTTTAAAAGCAACTGTTAAAAATTGCTTTCACATGCAACTGGAAAATAAGATATACAGGCAATGGAATATAGAAATCTATACTGCCCTACAGGAAAACAGAAGGGGAAAGGGATAAGAGAAGGGGGGGGGAGATAGAAGGGATGGCAGATTAGGGGAAAAAGTATTC